AAATCTTCCCACAATGATATGATTAGAGCTGACGTTTCCAGTGAATTTCCCAATGCCTTGCTTTCCCAAAAGGTGTTCTCGTTTTTCCACCAAATAATATGATATAGAAAAATGCCTGTCCTTTCTTGAAATTCATATCTGCTCTGTGACCCAAGGGCACTCATGACAATGTGGTATAGTGGTTAATGTGTCGAGATTATACGCTGCTGGGGGTGTTGATAAGACCTAGGCGTGGTCGAAACTGTAGTCCATCTCGGATCGTGTGAAAATTCAGCTACCAGCCTTTCATAACCTTAAACGAAATAGGGTGAATACATCTCATGTAACAGATTAATCTTTTGCCGGAAGCACATTGGAAAGTACATAATAGAGGAAGGTAGGAAGCAAGAGCACACGAGAACGCAACATTTACAAGAGGCAAAACACATGTAGAGTGGGAACACTAGGTTGAAACTAGTAAAAGAATGGCGGCCAACAGAGTTTTAAGTGTAGACGTGTGGTAGGGAGATAGCCAATGGAATAGATTGAGAGTGGTGACCTTTACAAAAAGACTGTTGGGTAAAATATAAAAAGAAATCAAACGGATTCATTCGTAATCAAACGAGACAAGCCATAATAAAGATCAGCAAGATTGAAAATATAGTAAAAGCTTGTCTAAGCAATTAAGCTGATCATAAAGCCTATCTTGAGCCTGCATCTGTTTGACTAAAAACCCCTCTTTCGATGCCTTCTAGTAGTAAATATCCCCAAAACAATGCTGCTTAGACTACAGCACAGAGCAATCGACCTGATCGGCGATGAACGTGCAGCCATCCCAAGACAAGAAAGAGGTAAAGACACCAGGATTTTAAAAAGTATACATATAAAGTAAAATAAACATGGAATTTCTCGAAGATTACTAGAAATATATAATTTAAGAAGACAGAGTAGAGTGGAAGAAAACAAGAATCGTAGTGAGATACATTGAAACATCCGCAATGAGTATAATTGAGTTTTGAGTCTTGCAGAAGGATGTAAAGAAACGTAAGCAAAAGCAAGCGAAATCAAAAGCTGTGAGGGATCAGCAGCAGAGTAGGTGCAGGTAAAACGATCCGATAGTATCCTGAAGAATTATCAGGGTAGTCTAATGAAGCCGAGATCAGAACTGAAAGCATGAAAATACAAGTGCACAAGGGTGTGTGGGTGGAGCAAGAGGGATTTCAGCTGTTTGTGAAATTCTCATCAAAATGAAGAAACAGGTTATCGGGTCATGGGAAGCTAAGTTGCACAAATCAGCAAAAGCATTAGTGAAGATCACAGTCCATATGAAAATAGCGTGTATGCGCTTAACACTCAGTGATGTAATATGGAATGGAATGTAAAAATATGCAAATATACAATGTGAATAGGACTTCACTGCATGTAAGCATGCGAGAGCATTATTTGGCTTCATCAAAAGGCCTTAGAGGACACCCGATTAGTGCTTACCATAAGTGGTGAATAGAATAGAGGAATAAGTGGTCGAAAGAAGAGAGAAATTGGAAGCATTAACCTTGTGATCAAAGCAACTGGGCCCAGCAGCATAAAACATAGAAGCAAAATAAATGAAAATATCATGTAATGCAGTCGGCTTACGAGTATGGAGCAGTTAGTGACTTGGTTACACTTTTACATCGTTCAAAGCCTTGTCCAGCTTGATGGCT